GTTCGGTGTACATATGAAAGCGATCTTACATGCCTTTCAAATCGTAAAAAAGTGCGCACTTGACAATGCATCCGGGACACGAAGCTTTTGCCCAGGCTTGGAGGCGCTGCATCAGACTTCCTGCAGAAGCGTCTCGGGCGCTACACCCATGGCCCGTTGACCGTGCTTGCAAAACCCGTCGAAGTCTATCCGTTGCTCACAGCGACCTCCAACGCTTAACTGACCACTGGAAGTGCGAGGAGCGCAGTGTACACCAGATATGGTGCGGCATGGGCTCCAGAGACAGCAAATAAGGGTAAAGAACCCCCGAGGCATAGGCTATCACAGACCCTATGGTAGGCCCTATGCACCCCTGTCCACAAGCCTATGATGGGGCTGTGCACCCCTGTCCACAGGCCTACGACACGGCCTATGCACCCCCTGCACAGGCCCTGCCCGCACAGGTCTGCGCAGGGGCTCACAGGCTTACAAAGGGTCCTGTCCACCCCTATCACAGGCCAGTGGACCCCTGTCATAAGCCCTATCCATGGGACCCCTGTCACAGCCCCTGTCGTCGGCCCTGTCCATAGACCCTGTCCACCCCGGTCATAGGCCCTGTCCGTAGTAGTAGTAGTAGTAGTAGTAGTAGTAGTAGTCGTCTCGCTCGCGGGGCCTACAAACTAAGGCCACACGAAATCGGAAAGATTGCGAACCTCCAATGCCTCGCGCGCTTAGAAGAAACGAATAGAAGCGTCTTCGCCAACACACAATAAGGACAAAGCCAAACGAAAACTCTTCAGGGGAGTTGACCGCGAAGAAAACATCAGTCGTGAACGATTTGGAAGGTTTGCAAATGGGAGGGACTGCGCCGCGAAGAAACAAACAATAGTCGCCAACACACATGAGAAAACCAAACGAACACGCTTTAGGAGATTTTTGGCGAAGAAAATGAAATCAAACATGGAAGCCTTGCAAGGTGTGCAAATGGTGGGGGGTGAGCCCTGCCGTTCTCGGAAGCCACAAAGAAAGGAACAAAAAAGTACTCACCAACACACACGAAGATTTCTCGACGATCATAGAGAAACGCGAACGATCTCGCTCGCAGGGGCTTGAAAAATACATCCGTAGATGTTTTAAAGGTATTTGCCTAGACTTTCCACATCGGCAAGATGATTCTTCTCTTCTGAGCAAATTAATCCGATGCAGCTCACATCCGACGCAGTCGACTCGAGGCAGATTCCTCAACGATTATAGAAAAGTCGGTGTGAATCGATATGAAGTTGCAAAGGCTTCGACCGGGACGCGAAACTGTCTACAGACCTTGGGAAGTCCCCTGATAGCTCACCATGCCCCCTTGAAAGCCCGCCTCCACCCCTTCCCTTGAGCCTCCCATTTAAGCCTCTCGTGGAGCCCCCTTGAAGTTTGCAAACTTCCCCTCCCCCCTGTAAAGCGGGGAGGGACCGAGCCGATAGTGCAGGGGTGGGGGGGTCAATTCTTCCGGACTATTTTCCCCCCTCCCCCCCCTCCCTGGGCGGGGGGGGGGAGAAGATTATGAGGGAGGGTTCATACTCCGGAAGTATGGAGGGGGGGAGGGGGGATCATACTCTGCGGAAGGGAGGGGGGTTCATACTCCAGGGAGAGGGTGGGTTTAGGTTCGTGCTAGGCCGTCCGCGGTCTCAACGTGTTCGCCAACAAACAACAAGGAGAGAATTCCACGAAGACGCCTCCGAGGGGTTAAAAGCGAAAGAAATATACAGTTGATCACGAAGGATTTGGAAAGTTTCAATCGGGGAGGCTGCGCCCCCCCAATCCCCCCGTGTTTCACTTCCCACTCTGTGAGACCGCAAATAAATGAACAAAAAACGTGTTCGCCAACACACAAGAAGGAGAAAGCCACGTCTTCTCCAATAGGAGAGAAAGAAAATATGATGACACGTGACATCTGTGGAAAATCGAAACACGGATAAAGGATAAGGAAAATCCACCGTGAAGGATTTGCAAGATTTGCAAATTGGGAGGGCTGTGCCCCCCCCCCCCCTTAGCCCCCCCGCTTTGCTTGTCCTCTTCCGAAAAGCAATGTACAAAAACTAGAATTTAGAGCAGCGTGTCCTTTTCCGAAAAGGACAAGCACGACTAAATTGAGAAATCTAGAATTTAGAGCTGCTTGCCTTCTGCCGAAAAGGACAAGCGCGACTAAATGTAGAATCTAAAGTTTAGAGCTGCTTGTCCTTGTCGCAGCTTGTCCTTTTCCGAAACAGGACAAGCGCGACTGAATGTAGAAAACCTAGAATATAGAGCTGCTTGCGAAGGCTTGGAAGGGCGAGGAAGAAGAGATTCCAAACGGACAAACGGCAGACGTACGCGCTCTGAAAAATGAAAAGCGGAACAAACAAAATCAAAGACGACTCAATCTCGTCTGCGAAAAGCACACAGAAAAAGAAGCCGCACGAAATCGTTTGAAGTGAAAAGTGAAGAAATACAGCAGCTTAAAGCGAGACGAACGTTGGCACACGGGGGCTGCGCCCCCCTCGACCCCTTCGATGATAGGGAGGCTTGGCGGGGGGGGGTCTTGTTCGTAGATTTGGGAAAGAAGAACGAACACCACGCCTGGGGGTGGGTTGGGGGGGGGGGGAACAAGAAGGGATGGAAGGTTGGTTCGGAAAAGAAGCAGGAAAAGAAGCCGCACGAAATCGTTTGAGGTGAAACGTGAAGAAATACAGCAAGTTTACAGCGAAGAAGAATTGGGAGGGGGGTCCGCCCCCCCAAACCCCCCCCCGCCGGGGGGCTGCGCCCCCCCTGGACCCCCCGCTTTATTTTGAGCCCGACACGCACGCAGTTGTAGCAAATGCAGGGCTTAGGCTTCGAGGGTGTGAATCCGCGTGTCCCGTTTTGGGGTCTTGTTTTAAGTGTGGTCGAAGAGGCAAAAACACCGCGCACAGCGAGGGTTTCGTGATGTCAGTGTGCCAAAACGTCGTTTTGCCGTTTAACGCAAACGTTTTCTGGGATATATAGACTCGATGAACAGATTATGAACCGCGGATGCATCGGATCAACTTCGTCAGAGTTGCCTGTCACGCAAAACTGCATCGGATCAACATCGTCAGATTATATAGAAAGATTCATGCGAGTTGTTTGGAAGATAGATTCGAAGCATTGCAAACATTTGGGAAATGACATTGAATGACAGACATTTGGGAATATTATTATGAAATCGGCATCGGATCAACTTCGTCAGATTTGCCTATCACGCACACAACTGCATCGGATCAACATCGTCAGGCTGGAAAGATTCATGCGTGTTGTTTGGAAGATAGATTCGAAGCAGTGTAAATAAAGCATTTGGGAAATCACATTGAATGACAGACAAGTAGGGAGGGGGGAGGGGGTGGAGGGGAGTCGGAGGGGGGGCATTATTATCATTATTAGTATTGTTTTCCTGCTTGCTTGTAATAAGAGGCAAATAATGGATCCACTTTCCATTTCCGACCCATTATTTTGCGAGGACGGGGGGGGAGGCCAGTATTTTTTCCTTGTTGTTTCTAATAACAGCAAAATAATGGACCCATTTCCCATTTCTAATCCATTACTTTTCGAGGGCGCGGGGGGTGGCGCCATTATTATTATTATTTTCTTTGGGTCCAGGCCCTCAAGAAAACAATGGATCCAGTTTCCGTTTCCAATCCAGGACGGGGGGAGGGGAGGAGGGGGCGGAGGGGAGGCGGGGGGGGGGTCGACAGGGGCTGTAACAGGGTCTATGACAGGGGTGGACAGGGCCTAAAAGGCCTGTGACGGGGGTTGACAGGGCCTTTAGACAGGGCCCAGGACAGGGGTCCACGGGGCGGTGACAGGAGTGGACAGATAGGCCGGGCCTATGACAGGCGAAGACAGGGCCTGTGCTGTGGTTCTTTATGCACCACTTCCCAGGGTTCAAGAGTAGAGTAACACCCCTACCGCCTACCGCCGGTTTCGGTAGTTCCTGTCAAGGAGAGGAGGGGGGCGGGGGCGGGAGGGGGGGTGTGGGTCGGGGGACAGGGGGGACGGAGGGGGGGAGGGTGCCATGAAAAGGTTCCGTCGACGCTCCCTCCTAGCCTCGAAAAAATCAAATACTAGAAAACGTATATGGTACTGCGGTGACAGCACTCGAAATGCCCACAGAACTGCGACTGTATCCCGTCTAGCTGCTAGTCCTCTAAACACACGAAGCCCGCCAAACGTAAGCATCACTGTGGCGCAAGTGCAATTTTGGAAACTCCAAAATCCCTTCGAGCAGTGGAGATTTCGAGACCATAAGCCCAGGAGGACGAGTACATTGCGATTTCACGACCCTGCACGGGGCGATGTTGGGCCGAAAACGCGGAGACTAGCTGTGGTGAGAACGTTGATGTGTGGTGAAAGCGCAATTTGCAAAGTGCGCGAAGGCCAGCTCCGTATAACTACTTTTTACACGTAGCATCCGGCAGTCGCGTTTGTTACCGGTAAATAATGTGTCCGTCTATCTGTCTGTCTGTCTGTCTGTCTGTCTGTCTGTCTGTCTGTCTGTCTGTCTGTCCGACATATATATATATATATGTATATGCATGCATCTCGGTTTACATACATCTGACTAGTCTGCAGTTTGGGCTTGGTTAGCTACATGTATCCACATAATGGGTATGCGCTCACTGTGATTGTCCTAGTCGTTACCATTCCATAGTTATGCTGCCGCTGATGAGGACGATGATGATCTACAGGTGAACGGGCGGGAGCGGCGGGAATCTTACTTCCATGACAATGACGGGCATGAGGATGATGATTATTGTTATTGTCATCGTGAAGGGAGGGTGGCCAGGGGTTGAGCTTCGATGCAGGCGTGCATTGCAAAGCCACTCCTTCGTGACACTCTGTAAGGAGTCAAGTTCCTAAATACCTCGCAGCCACTCCGAACCTCCCTTGGACGCCTCAACTCATCAACTGCCAGCATGTGGAAAGTCCTTCATCCAGTCCACGCAGTCTGCTCATCCGGGAGTTGGTATGTGGTACTGTCACGACAAGGCACGTGCAAAAGCCGCGTAGCCAGAGACCTGCACGAGTTGGGGCTTCCAATTCTGTGGCTTGGGGTGCCCAACTGAACCTCGGATACACATCTATTTTGAAGAGGGAACTAGCTCCAGCATCGGCTAGAAGGGATGTACCTGCAGTCATCATGACTACTCGTCTCAGGCTTCAGACAGATTCCGCTCTGCGGCACGTCCGGAGCCTGTCGCAGTTCGTTGGCCAGCTGCTCACCCAGCACCTTCCTCCGGCGTGTAGAGACTGTTTTGTTCAGGAAGCCTGGCCCGAGGTTCTTCCCTGCATTTAGTCACTGCAACACGCCCGCTCCAGCTAGAAAGACCCTGGGAACGCTACACAGCGTGTGGGACCCTTGTGCAATTCAAGTTTCACAATGCTAACCTGGACGATCAGCTAACAGACAAGAATGCGGATGGATGCCTGCAAGTTTGATTATCGAGTGTCACAGCTTTGGCTCCTTGTCCTAGCTTTGGGTGTAAGGGTGAGGGTTGATGAACTTACGAGCAGCGTCTGTGTCTCATGAGGCATCGAAGGCTGATTACAACTCGATTCCCCCGATGCAAACAGCCAGACCACTTTGCATCTCCTGTAAAGTTACAGATTCCATTAACCCTGCAGCCCTCGCCTTCCACTCTTCAAGCCACTTTGGACCCAACCAACACCTATCATCGAACTTGAATCCACGAAGCCGCGAGGAATAGGTTGCTCAAAAACGAAGACTTGACATCTAGCCGTACCGTGCCCACACCCAGCCCTCAAGACTGGATTCCTTCAAAGCAGAGCATGAGCCACAAACACGCCTACCAACTCGAGTCACCAAGCTCGGTTTGGGGTCTTAGGACGAACTCCTTTAATCTCCCGCAAGAACCCGGCCTGCACTTCGGAGATAGATCTTGGCCAAAAGATGCAAAGGGCGGCTGATCGGCCTGACATGGGGCTCACACTCGAAAACTGAAGCTCAGAGATTCGAGTATCTAGGATCTCAGAAAGTCTCGTATGAACGGCATCTGAATCTATGAGGCCTGTTATATGCTACGAGCGCAGCAAAGCGAGGAGGCGGCCTCAATGTGTGGCAGCAGCGCTGCCAGAGGGTCGCAGGATTTCTGGCTTCGGACGACGGCTGCATACCATTCAGAGTACCTCTGCGAGAGCGAAGAAATCGTTCGGAGGCCCTGATCGTGTTGAACACGATCTCATGGGTCGGTTGTGCCGGAGACACTGGCGCATCTGGGAAGCTTGGGGTCCAAGGTCAACGACCCAATCTAAGAGCCGAGGGACTGGTATACACGGCTGTCCAGTATTGATGCACAGCAAACACACGAATCCTGAACTGTCCTAAAGCCTGAGCACCTGCGACCCCCGCCCCCCCCGGCCATCTCCCCCCTGCATGCAAGTGCAAACACTTGTGGCAAGCGCTGTGGCTGTGAATGTATTGGCACTCCCTGCCCGAACCCGTGGCCAATTTGAAACGAAATTGTTTGACTCTCACCAAACTGCCAGCCACTTCTCGGCTTTGGCTTGATCCACCCTGTGGTGCGACCTTGACTCATGCAGTTCCCTGGGGCCACAGCATTCCAAATCAAAGCGCCTGCCACACTTTCTACACTTGCACATGATTGCGGCCGTATCACCCGCCAATGGAACCTAGCTTCGTTCTTCATCGTCTAAGATCATGAATTATTTTTGGGAGCAGGATTTGAGGGTGGGCGCGGGCAGAAGCCTGAACCTGGCAGATCGTTGGAAGCTTGCTTCGAGGTGCGGCAGCATCGTGCAGGCGACTGGAAGGTGTTCGAGCAGGGTAGCAAGCCCGTAGTTGCCGGTCATGCCTGAGAAAGCAATCATCTCATAGTGCATTATAGTGCAAGGAGCACCGATACTACATCCGATGCCTGCACCGTCCTCCAGCTATTGCATGGGCTCTGTTTTACGGTATTGTGGAATTTTGGAAACTCCAGGGAAATGACAGAAATGACATGCTCAAGAACTGGGCTGCCCGAACTCTCAAATCCAACCTCACGGTGTCCGTCCGCCGATTTCCAGCAACCCCACCCCGAGCATGTACATGATAGACAAATCTTCAGCCGGCAACCACGACACGCAAAGAGCACGAGCAGATCCGAACAAACACTAGGCGAATCCTGTTCCTGCTTGTTGACGGTTGATCGTTGGATTTTCGCCCCATACCGTAGAGACCCCAAGCAATCCAACCCTTATACCGCAAGTCCTCAAGCGGCAGACACCCTGCCTATGTTTACTGTTTGGTTCCGAAGGTGCTGTACGTCTCTGGAGCTCCATGCTCAAAGACTTTTAGCGCCGCTTGACAGAATTTATCCACCTTAGGGTGGCCGGCAACGTGGAATGAAAGCTTGGAATCTATTATCTAGTATTTAGGCTTCAAAGATTCGTGTTCGGTGAAACATAGGTTCGACGGGTTGGGCTTAAGGTTGAAAAACTTGTGGCGGGCTTATGATACGCGGAACAAAACGAAAGTTTGTCTGCTTGGCCGTCAGGGACGTTCATACCGTCCATCCAGTCGCCGTGGTCCTGGAACGACTTGTGACCAAGGCTTGGAGGTTCTGGATTCACCTCGCTTCTTAGAGAAACTGGTTGACATAAGATAATAAACTGCAAAGATCAGTGTCACCGGCTATTATAAGGCTACGACCGTAACAAGGAGGTTGGAGTCTACGTCTAAGAAACCTTCTGGCCAGCTCCCTGCACGAGCTAGTACTGCCTTCAAACCCAGGCTACAGCACAGCAGCACGTGGCCAAAACTCTCAGTGCCAAATCCTTCAACCGAGGTACCTGAAACAACACGAGATCTGCAATCCAGCATCCCAACGTCTTGTATAAGAGCGACATGCAGAGGCACACAAAGGCTGTAATCATGGTCTTTGCGCAGCATAACTGGCTGGGTGAAGATTTTTTCACTTGGCAACGTTTGGTCTTCGACGCCACGCTCAAGCCTGTGTACCAAGACACACAGACGAAACAAATATGAAGCGAGACCTCATGGTACCAAAGTGCAACGCCCAACTCCAACTTAGTCAACGCCCTGGGAAATTCAACGTAGTGGTTCCGAAGCAGATTGCACCGTGCAAAATCTTTCCAACAAGACACAATGTAAACAAAATGGGACATAAACTCTTGCGCAAGCCACCTCCGTGTTCCAGCACAGGCTTTCAGCTTTCATCCACCGTGCTAGACGTGTCGGGCCGTCATCGGTGCTGTAACTGCCAGTCTTCGAATGCCACCTGAGGTTCAAAGACTCCAAGCTTAAATTGAGGCTCAGGGCTTAAGTATCCAATTTTTAATCAATTTTCCCCTCAATGTCCGCTCAGGCTTTCTTATGACTGAGCGATACATATATGTATTGGTTCTCATCACTTGCGATGCTGAAGTTGGGGGCTATGTATGTCCAACAAGCGGCTAATCACAGACCGGAATCCAAATACAACACCCTCCGCGCAATATCGGCCACTCATCCTTGAAGACTGCAGGATTAGAGCGCTCAGTGTACCCACCCAGGGTTGCAAGGTCAAGGGAGTTGAGGCGAGGTGCCGTGTGGAGTGAGGGGTTAGCAGGTGTGTCGGCTAGCACTCCAGACCCTCCCTTGGGGTTTATGGCCTTCAAAAATCGTACGCAACGGTGATCAGGAAACATGACCCTGCATGAGAACCTTCCTGCATTCTGATTTGAAGCATAGGTCAATGGTTTCGATCAGATGGGGATGAAGAAAAGTCTGGATGAGGGGATGGATGACTGACTATGCAGCGTGGCACATGGGTATTGACAAGAGTACAGACGGAAAGACCAAAGGATGACAAGAAGGAATCCGAAGGAATGCATTCAAACACGATGAACAAGTGAACAAGTTGGGGTGCAGGAGTCAGAACACCTTAACACGCATGCAGCTACAGCTTCACTTACTTCGCTGTGCAAAGGTCCCGGAGTCCTGTGCAACACTACACGACGCGGCTCGAAAATAGGGCGAGCCCTACAGCCTGGACTTGCGCCCCAAAAACATGCAGTGGAAACCCGACTGGGGCCCGCAAACGAAGTGGCACTCTACAGCGACAGCCATTCTGCGAAGAATTGATGCAGAGCGGACAATCGCCTCAGAAGACATGCAGGCTGGGCGATCAACGTGCCAAAACCTAGAGCAGGAACAATGAAGGCACCAACGGCACCTGGGCACAACAACTGAGCAGCCAAAAGATGGCAGACAGGGGCCGCGAAGACCGGAGAGCTGCACCCCGACTCACGTCCACTCACCTGCCACACCAAATGCCGGAAGGACAACATCCGCCGAATGAACAACAGGCGGACAGCTGCTGCCTCGGCAAAAAAAGGCACAACGGCTGGCCGGTGGCTGGTGTTGCTTCGCAACGCAAGAAGCCAGTAAGACGTAAGGTGATTGAGGACCACGGTCGGCCTGATAGAGGAAGGCCGAATGCCAAGTGGCAGACTTGAGCAACCGCGGCTTGTGAAGGGGGGCCGCTGGAAAGGCAGAGTGGCCCTGCACGAAGGACGTTGCTGGGCTGGCCATGCGCCGCAATATTTGCCCGCGAACGGCTTGCAAGATCAGCAGGACTCCGGCAGTCCAAACTTCCCGGACCGCTCGGGCGAGCTGAGAAGTCCGTCGAGTCGGCCCTCACGGTCCCGACTGGCGCGCACAGGAACCATGCAAGTTTCAGGGGCCACGCGAGAGAATGCGAAAGAGGTAGAGCGCAGCAATATTGGTGGCTTGGCAAGGCCTATGTCCCCTGCCTGCCGACGCTTCAATCGTCGCGTCGTCCTGAGTGTTTGGCTGCAGGACCCCGAATGCTCGGGCACAACCCTGATGCGACGTCCGGAAGGATCGACAGAGCCACTCGCTCCTGCAAAGACCAAAGCGCGTCTGAATGGCGCCAGGCTGGCAAAGGTGAACCAGTGCTTATGTCTTCCCGAGCCCGTGAGTCCTTAGCAATCCTTGCCTCCTTGAGTATCGCAATAGCCTAAAGTGGAGCGGTCTTTGAATCAGGACCTTTTAGAAGATGCAGGCTGCAAGCACAAGTCTTCACCATCTTGTGCGAGGTGATGGCATGTCAGGCAGCGCATTGTGTCACAGCAGTGCAGCCATTTGCTCAGAACAACTCACGCTCCCTGTCTTCAAGCTCACGCTGCGCGGACCGGATGGCGGCCTAGGGTTGAGTTTTCACAAACGGTTCAAGCAAGTAAGTGCCACATGATGGAGTACAGAACTTTGGTTTAGAATAGCGGGTCGACACAGCCTGCGTGGGAATGCCATCAAGAACGTGGTTTTCCTCATGGATTTCTGACTTTATAGGTACCATACGCCACCAAGGTCAGCCAGGGTCAACCACCCCTACAGGTAGTGGCTGTGGCCCGTTTGCACACAGTCGCGCGGGGAATGCCCGGACCCGTGCATTTCAAAGACTCGTGTGTATGCGCTCTTCATGCGAGGACCGGCGAACTCCCAGCCAATTTTCGCGCTACTGTGATGCTCAATGGAGTTGGCAAGTTCTGTCACTCCCCTGTCAGAGCTACGCAGGGGCAAAATGTTCGCGCAGCTTGGTGGCCTGAGGGGGATTGATACGAGCACTGCGTTTTCTCTTTTTCGGTCGGGCGTTGACCTTGCAGAGCTCGGCATCGGCGAGCCGAGAGCTATTGTTCGAGGTGATCTCAACGCTCCCCTGGCTGGGCTACAGCTCCCTCAGCACGTCCATCCATTGGTTCGGGATGGCGTGTTGCAGGGCCTCGGCGTTCCTCCTGAACAAACATATATGCCTTGCTGCAGGACTGTGTCTCAAGCTCCTATTACAAACAGTTTTCGTTCATGGGCAGGCGATGGTGGCGGCTCGAGGCTACTGCCAAGGTGGTGATGGGCTCGCCGATGTCTTATTTGGAGCCTTTTTCTTTGTCATCTGACCTGTATCGATGCTTTGTGTCAGGCGGCCTGCATTGTTCAGACTATAGCTCGACAGCAGATCACTTGGGCGCAAGACCTATGTGTGCTGGCCGACTTGCAATGCGCTCCCTTCGGCCCCTCCCATACCCCGTGGGGGGACCATTATTTTCCGGTCATAGAGGCTTTCGGGTTTCGCGTTAACGTTTCTACTGCAGCCAAGCAACACCACCAACCCTGGGCGCACCACAACCTTTTCTGCGATCATGGTGATGCTTCTTCGGCACTACTGCGTTTGGAAGTCAAGACTAAAGGTGATCCGAGCTTCTCAAGCTACAACTTCACAACAGCGAATGTTGAATGGCAAACCCCATGTAGCTAGGCTTTAGGGCCGAGGTAGATGAGTTGAGCAAGGCCGCTGCCCAGGGACAAAGCCTGACCAAGATCATCTCTGCAGCGAGCTTTGAGACGATGTAGGGACTGGTGCACTCCTTGAGGAGGCTAAGACTTGACAGATGGGCCTTGGCTCTGAGCTAATAACCGTACATCGAAACCCAACGTCCGCCCAACAAAGGTACTAGTCCGCGGCTCCTCAAACCTTTCCAAAGCCCTACGTACATACATGCACCTAAATATACGTCCCTTAAGCCTGTATATGATATGCTGTGTATATGTACACGTATATATGTAGATGGTTGTATACATGTATGTACTTCCTAAACAACTTATATCATGTGAATGGGTGTGAGAATACATATGGGCATGCACAAAGAACAAATGTGCTATCTGTCGGCCTATCTATCTACCTGTCTGTCTATCTATCTGTCTATCTATCTATCTGTCCATCCGTTTATCTATCTATCTATCTATCTATCTATCTATCTATCTATCTGTCTATCTATCTACATATCTGTCTGCATATCTATCTATGTAACTTTCAAATTATCTATCTACCTATCTACCTATCTATCTATATAGAGTAAGAACACGCGCACTACTACGTAATATCCAGATGGATACAGCAAGCCCTTCTCCAAGCCAGATTGACTTTGCGGAGGTCGGAGGTTGAGTCCGACTCCAGTTGACTCAGGACATGCACGCATCTCTCAACCATGACTCTACTCCCTTATGCCTTGAGACAACAAGCGGCAGCGAAACTGCCGAAATACACCTTGAACCGAAAGTTGATGAAGCCAAGGCATGTAATCATACATGATGATACCTTGGGAAGCTCAAGACTAGAAGCTTATCGGCTCCCGAATAACTCAAGGCCCTAAGAAGAGCGTGGCCTGGAGCCACGAAGCTTCCGCCGGAGCCTCGTCGAACGCAGCGCCGCTGCCGATAACTAGCAGGGAGCGACGGCGGCCTGGATTGTCTGAGCTTCCATGTAGGGTTTCGGATCCTGTAGGGTTTGAGGTGTAGTTTCTTTCACAGGTGTTGCGGACCATTACGGACTCCAGGAATTAAGAATGGGGTCTAGCTCTCCACAGTGTGCGAAGGTCCGGTATGTTGGTCCCCCAAACTCTCGACATAAAACTGACTAGTACGGGCTCCGAGTTAGCGTTATTGCAGTTATGGTAACCAGCGCACAGCGTGTCTGTTCAAGAGGTCCTTATTGCAGTAGACGGCGATAAACTCTGTTTGCAACAGCCCCAACACATGGTCTGTGATGCGCAGGAGTTGGGTCTTGGTCCCTCTAACCTTTGTGGTGCTTCTGACTTCAACGGCTCGGTGCTGGGCATTGACATGTCCAAGCCTGCCGCAAACCAAAACCCCACCCGGATCCCCTCACGCCTACACTCTGTCGAGGCGACTAGCTGCAGGCTTCTATCACGAAGAGGCGACAAAGTTGATGCGTGAGGTCAGGTTAAACGCTGTTGTCAAGTCCCCAAAGCCACCCTCACCTGGGAAACAACATCTAATCTCTCAGCCCCAGGATTGCTGATTGCTGTAAATATGCGCTCCTAAAAATTATTCGCAAGTCTCCCTGCTATGCCCTAGGGTGCCCCTGCTCGTTGATCTGAGCTTAAACATGAAAGTCGGAACTCAAGGTCAAAAGCACGATTCCTAACTGCACTCAACCATGGTCTTCCTGTGGAGAACTGAAGCAGGGGCGAAATTTGCCATGACTGCAACCTGCGACCATTACGAGATGTTAGTCAAGGCCACTGTTATCGTTGAAGGGACTTGTTCATCACATTCCGAAACAACTTCGAGAGCCTGGTTATCTTTGGGTCCCAAGCTTTGCGGGCTTCTCCTAGCCAAGCGTCCGTCAAGCTCACCGCAGCAGAAAGCACCCACTTGCCGAGCGCCGACAACGTTCGCTGCCCGCAGCTCCCCATAGCTGAGGGTCCAATTCCTGAAGCAACCGTACGCTGTGGCAATGAATAAAATATCCGTTTCACATGCGCAGAAACGGGGTGGTTCCTTGACAACAACATGGCTTGTCGGAGGCAGTCACAGCAGCAGCACCACCACACCACCACCAGAAATAGAAATAGAACAAGTCGTAGTCATAGTCGTGGTCGAAGTTGATGGCAGAAGAAGCAGAAGCAGAAGTAGTAGCAGCAGCCGCAGCAGCAGTAGTAGTAGTAGTAGTAGTAGCAGTAGTAGTAGTAGTCGTAGTAGTGGTAGTAAGTGGTGGTAGTAGCAGTAGTCATAGTGGCAGTGTTAGTAGTAGTGATCGTGTTAGTGATACGTGTAGCGACAGTGGTAGGGATAGCGGTAGCCAAAGTCATAGTGATACGAGTCGTGGTAGTCCTAGGAGCAGTAGTCCTAGCAGTAGAAGTAGTAGTAGTAGTAGCAGGAGTAGTAGTAGTAGTAGTAGTAGTAGTAGTAATTAGTACTAGTCTAAACAGTAGTAATTGTAGTAGCAGTGCTAGCAGTAGTAGT